ACACGGGCAAGGTGGGAGCAGGGATGGGCACAGAAACAGAGATGATGGGCAGGAGAGGCAGCCAGGGAGGGCCTGTGGGAACTGGAATGTGTTTAACTCGGTAGGAAGAAGAGCCAGGAAAGATACATCCCAGGCATTTAAAAAGCCACTCAGTGAAATTAATGGTTGCTACGTTAGAGGCAAACCCAAAGAGAGAGGCTGCAGAGCTCCCTGCTGCTGGCTCGGAGCTCGCTGCCAGCCAGGCACGGAGCAGGAGCAGCTCCCTGTGCTTGGGGAGGGGGGCCAGACTCCGAAAGTTTTCCTCTGAGCCTCAAGAGAAGTGAATATTTCCCCGCATGGCTCAGGCAAAGCCCTCTCCCTACAGCCCACCCCAGGCCGAGCGCTTCCAGCCGACCGCAGCGCTTGGCCCTGCGCCACCAGCCTCTTTGGGATCTTTTTGCATCATTTTCCTGAAAGTCTGCGAGCAATTAGCACCGGCTTAAGAGACAAACAGCGTGTCAGTGGGGCGGGGCAGCAGCTCCCCAGGCACCAGGCACATTTGCCTAGATGAGAAGTGTGGGAATGGCGTGGAGCGTCCGTCTGTCCATCCCAGCGTGGCTCAGCCAGCCCAGCATCCAGCGCTGCTCCCTGCCACAGCCACTCTTCCCCTGGGAGAGACACCCAGGTGGGAAAAACCCAACTGCAGCAGCGTGGGAGCCCCGCTCAGAAAGGCCTGGGGGGCTCAAGAGCACCTGGCCCCAACATCTGGTTCAAGGCACGAGGACAACGCACATCTGTGCACCCCTGCACAGGGCCGCGCTCCTGCTGCACCCCCAGCAAGTGAGTGAGCACACAGCAGCAAGTCAAGGAAGGGTTTGAGTTGGAAGGGACCTTAAAGACCACCTCGTGCCACCCTGTCATGGACAGAGTGCCTCCCACCAGGCCAGGGTGCTCAGAGCCCCATCCAAGCTGAGCCTAAAAGGGCAATCGCTCCCCAAAGCACTGACCTAAGCATGAGGTCACTGCCAAAAGTGATTCCTCAAACCCCACTGGCCCAGTTTCTCCAGGAGCTGAGCCTGGGTTATCACATCCAGAGCTGTGTGAGACATCAACCCCATGGAAACCAGCCCCCATTGCTCCAGCTGTGCCAGGTTTTGAGTTCCAAGAGGAAAAGAACCTCCCAAGGGAGAGCAGGAACATCTGGCTGAACTGAGGGATATTTAATCTCCATTCTTCACTTCTGCCAAGCAAGCATCCTCCCAGCCAGGGCCATCGGACACCCCTCTATCAGCGCTTTGTTTTCTCACACATCAGATGAACAATTACAAAACCTCTCAGCCACCCAAAATGCAGAGTAGCCCTCACCTCCCTCCAGGCCAAATAATGAGAGCCTATCTCCCTGCAGCCTTCTCCTCCTCCTCCTCCTCCGTCTGGCTTCTCCTGGAGGATCATTAGGGAGCCGATAAAAATAGGTTTTCTTATTGATTTATCTCCTTTACCCAATGCTCTCTCCCCTGCACCGTTGACTTGTTTCCTTAGCAACTGGGCCGATCCCTGTGCACGCCACACCTGCAGCTCCATGCTTCCCTCACAGTGCCTTTGAGGTGGGGACAGTGACCCCAGGCCATGGGGACACCCTCCAGGCCACCTGGGCAGGCACTGTGGGCCAGCCCCATGCCTGGAGCTGGAGCTCCTTGGCAGATCTATCAGGAAGATCTTGCTGCTGTGACCTTCCTCTTCACCTTCCTCACTAGCCAGAAGCCCAAACCAGTCCACCCAGAGCACCCACCCAGCTGAGGCAGGGAGTGAGCCCAGCTCCAGTCCCTAGAGATGGGTTTGTGGTGCTGAGGGGACATTGACACAACCTCCACAGGAGGCTGGGTACAAGATAAATCCTTCCCCGTATGCAGGCAGGAGCAGGAGCTATGGACACATCCCCTCCATCCCACCCCTTCCCAGTCCCTTCTCTCCACTCCTGGGCAGGCAATGGGGAAGGAGCAGAGGAGCCAGAGGAGCGAGGCCTTGGGGAATCCTACCTTCCAGTGCCACCAAAAGAGCAGGAGCAACTTAATCCCCGTCCACACCTGCATCAGCCAGGTTCCAACATCTCCTCCAAAGTCATGTCTGTATTTCCCACCTCTCTCCACACCTCCCTGGGGACGGGCTGCCCCAAAGGGCACGCCCTGCTCCTCAGGTGTCAATGAGAAAAAGCCTCAGTTCTTATACCTGTGGATTTCATCCTGCTGGTCCCAATCCCAGCACTGCTGCCTCTCACACACAGACGTGGCACAACAGAGCCAAAGATCCACATATTCAGCATCCACTCTTAGGATGCCCCAATCCTCCTCCTCTCAGCTCCACACCCCAGCAGGAAAGAGAGCACCCTCTCTCTAAGGCTGTTTTCACAGAATCGTGGAATGGTTTGGGTTGGAAGGGACATTAAAGTCATCTCCTTCCACCCCCCTGCCACGGGCAGGGACACCTTCCACTAGACCAGGTCGCTCAGACCCCCATCCCATCAGACTTTGAACAATTCCAGGGAGCCCACAGTGTCTCTGGGCAAGTGAGGTTTTTGGTTTCCAAGAAAAAAACGAAAGTGCCAAGTAGAGCAAAATCTGGGAGTGGCCCTAATTCAACTCTGGGATTCCCCATCCCCACAGTACCTCCCTGGCTGGTCCCTGAGGACACGAGGGATTTCCCTCCTCTGATAAGACTATCCACAGAGTTGCGGCCCCTCTGTGTCCTGTCACCCAGTGCTCCCAGCCCATCCCTGCTGGGGGGGGGGGGGTTGACAGAAAGCAACATCCAGACCCCAAATCCTCCCACCTGGAGCACGAGCCAGCTGCTGTGTGCCTGCTACACAGAGGCTCAGGAGAGTGAGCACAGGCTTGGGTTGTGCTGTGTCCTGGAGCGCCCAGCCTGCCTCAATCCCCCTGCACGGACACAGGAGACCACCCTCCCTCTCTGCAGTCACAGCTGTTGCTGCTTTGATGGCTCCAAGATGCAGTGGTTTGGTTCCCACCAAGGGTTAAAACGAAGGCAGTGACAGCCAGGAGTCCAGCAGGGCAGAGCTGCCCACACTGCTCCCGTAGGGATGCAGGATGCAGGATGTGGGATGCCTGCATGCCACGTGCAAACAGCTCCATGGAGAAGCGTCTCCTTCTCCCCCACCTCACCCTGGAAATCAAATCTCTCTCCTCTCCTCCTCCTTTTTTTTTTTTTTTTTAAACAAAAAAGGACCACATCATGTGATTTTCCTGCCTTAACATCAGTTTTTTAACTTTGGTTGCCACAGCAACAGGATGCAACTTGGCATCACCATGACAACAGCTGCCTCTGTTTAAATTCACCATCTGACAGGCAGCCTCGCTCTCCCCGGCTGTCAAAAAAGATGGACCTGCCATTACACCTACTCGCCCCTCCCAAAAAAAAACCTTTCTAAAATCTGATGAATGGAGGGCACAGAAAACAGGCTGGGAGCAGGAGGAAGGGGGAAATGTTCTTGGGGAGGGCAGGGATGGTGCTGCCCAAGGATGGCACGATATGGCGCAGGCTCTTCCCTTGGGAAGGCGAGGCCTGCCGGAATTTTGGCCCAGGAAAAGCCAAAGTGCAGGAGGTGCTTGGCCAGGTGGGGTGTGACAGCACCAGGGTCCCCAAGGGGCACTGCCCACGCAGCATCAGGTCACAGGGAGAGTCACGGTGAGCAAAATGGCTCAGCCACTCGCAGATGTGCTTCCCATGAAGCAAAATCCCCCTGAGCGTTGGGATGAGGTTCTGGGGGTGCCCCAGCTGCTCTAGGCCAGCCCAACACCAGATTTGGTCCTCAAAGGGGACGAGATAGGTGAAATGCCTCACCACAGGGAACATGGACATCCTCTTTCCCTGCCACACCAGCGATGGGTGCAGTGGACAGCCTGCAGCCAGATGCTGTCCTTGGGGACACGGCCAGAGCCACACAATTGTCATCTGGCCTTCCTGGGGAGGGAGAGGGATCTTATCCAGGTCGAATGTGATTAAGCGGATGAGGAACGGAGCAGATATAGATGAGCTGCAGCCCATCTCGTATCCTAACTGAATTGGAGCCTTCCAGGCAGCCAAACAAATGAAATCAGGGTGAAAGGCCTGGCCATCAGCAGGAGGAGAGCAGGCAAGAGGACAAGGCTGCGTTTCCCAAGGAGAAGAGGAGGAGATGTTCCCTACAGCCAAAACAGCAGCTGCCCCATGGCTAGGGCAGGAGCAGTTCTAAAAGAGCAGCTCCAGTGGAGGCAAAGCACTTTCCAGAGAGGAGCTCGGCAAAGCCTTGCCTCCCATGGAGCTGCATCCCAATCCCAGTTGCTCGTATTTCTCCTCCTTCTCCTCCATGCATCATCCCTATTTACACTGGGAAGCCAAACTGCAGAGGCTGCTGGTTATAATTACACAGTTACCCAGCAGATATCCAGGCCTGAATCACCAGATATTTTTAGCCCTATTACCTAGTCAACCAGAGCTGGATGAAGAAGAGCCTCCACTCCGCCCTGTGCTCCTCTCCAGCCCCTTTGGCTTTCCTCGGCGCTCTGCCCACCCTGACCCACAGCACCAGGACTGGCCCATCGCCCTCCCAAGGCCAGCAGCTCCTACTGACCGTGGCCAAGATCCAATGCTCTCCTCCCCAAAATTCCCTCACCCAGGAGCAATGCCATGGGCTGCAGGCCAGGCAGCTGAGGTGCTCACATGGTTTTCCTGGCCCTACCAAAAGGCACCAGCTGCCTGTGCCAGGCTACAACTACAAGGATGGGAACAGCTGGCTGGGCCAGCCTAACCAAACTCATCACCAAAAGGCCTTGCCCGTTCCCAAGCCCTCAAAACTCCAGTGGTGCAGAGAACCACCCAGGGTGGATGCGTTTTTCTGGGAAAGAGGTGGCAGTGGTGGGGGGAAGTAGGCAGGAACACTGAGCTCCCGCTCCTGGAGCACGCCTGTTCCCAGCACTCACATGGGAATATGTCACTTACTTCTGGAAAAAAAAAAAACCACAAAATGAGCCCATCTCTCTCATGCATTGCAAATTCCAGGGGAGAATAATGCTGGGGAGTTCTGCTCATGTGGTGGTGGTGGTGGTGGAGCTCCAGTCTCTAGGAGACAGCGGCTGCCTGGAGATGAGACATCACACCGGCACGGGACCCCAGCCCACGCCAGGAGTGCCGGGCAGCACCCCAGCTCCTTCTGCCTCCCAACAAAAGCCAGAGGGGCGAGAGCCCTCCCACACCACGCTGGAAAAGCACACGAATAATTTGGCATATTCTGGAAAAGCAGGCGGCCGGCCTGGCCGCTGCCCTGCAGGGCTCTGCGCTGAGCCGCCACGGCCCCGGCGCTCCTGCAGCCTCCCACCCCGTGGGCGCAGCCAGGAGGGGCAGATTCGGGGATGCCAAGGGGAATTCAGCCCCTCCAAGCCAGCCCTTCACGCCCAGGTCACCCCCTCGAGCCTGGAGATGTCACAGCTCCCCGGGCAGGACCGGTTCCTGCTTGGCAGCAGGACCTGACGTGTCGGAGCTGCAAAGGGACCATTCCCCTGCCATGCTCTGCAGGGCGGGTGACCTGTCCTGCATCCCTGGGCCTCAGCAGAGGCTTTCCCCCGAGGTACCTGTTGCACCAAACCAAGGCATTGCTGCCTGGCACCAGGGAAAGCTCTCCCGTGCCCACCAGAGGAGCCAGGAACTCCACCAACAAGTTGCAGGGAGAGCAAGCGGCAGCAGCAGGAGCTGCATGGAATCACTGCTGCAGAACAACGCACGGGCAGGCTCCTACAGCCACAGCGTGGCCACGCTGAAGTTTTCAGGCTCGGATCCTCCGTGGGGGCAAAGCCCTGGAGGTGTCTGGGGGGCAGCAGGCAGCGAGCCCAGGCGGGTGTGGGGTGAGAGCTGTGGTGCTGGGCAGGAGCCAAAGGCACCCAGGGGCACCCACAGGGAGGGTGGGAGGAGAAAGAGGTGCGTGGGGAGGTATGAAAGGATGGAGGAACAGGGGGAGGAGTGGGGGAGATCTGCACCCTCCACCCTGCGCTAGGAGAGGGGTCTCTGAGATGAAATCGTGGCTCCCTGTGCCAGCCTCCCCAAAAAAGGCCACGGGGCACAGCCAGAGGTTTCCACCAGCCTTCCCTCTGCCGCAGGGAGGGGGCAGCCAGTTCCCAGAGCCACCATGGGGGGCCGGGGGCTGCAGGGCGAGGACGGCTGTGCCCCTGGCAGGCGCGATCTGCAGCAAAGAGGGCACCCACGGGAGGGACAGAGCCACCACCCAGCGGGGACTGGAGATTCATGGGGCTCCCAGGTGGCTCAGGGTGGGGTGGGGTGACAAAACTCCACAAGACATCGAGGCACAGAGAAAAGGCCACTACCTCCCACCTCCCCAGGCACACACACAGAGCATCCCAAAGCACGCAGGGATCAGAGCACCCGTCCCTATTAGCGTGGGGAGATAACAAATCCAAGCCTCAGGAGGGGCTGGGGGACTCCCCAGGGGGGAGAAAGGGCTCAGCTCCCGTCAGGAGCGGGCAAGGAGCCGAGGACAGGAGGGGAAGCAGCAACAGGGCGAGGAGAGCATCCCCAGGGGCCGGGGCACCCCTCTCCGCACACCTTACCTGCCCGATAGTGCCACACGCACGTGTCCTGGGCAGCCAGCGAGGCAAATCCGGGCAGCAAAGGTGGGGGCTCTCAGAGGCTGCAGAAAGGATATGGCCAGTCGATGAGCTTCTTGGCGTATTTCCTGACTATGTTCTCTTCCCCGAAGAGGAAGAGCGATCTGTTGACGGTGAAGCAGTTCTGCCGGACGGGGATGGGGTTGTACAGAGCCATAGTCCGGGCTCTCTGCGCTTTGGTTTGCTTGAAGGCTCCCGGGCTGCCTCCCGCAGGGGCAGGAGCTCCTTGCCGGCTCCGGTTCTGGTCGGAGCCCCCATCTCCGGAGCCCAGCCTGCCGGCCACCGCCTCCCCAAAGCGAGCCATCCTGGAAGAAAACACACAGGTGAGCCAAAGCAGCAGCACCGAGGCGGCGGGGCGGGGGGAGGGTGGGAAAGAAGAGGGAGGGGGTTGCGGGGCGCAGTCCCAACCACAGCCCCCTCCTCCTCTCCGGGTGATGCTCAGCTCCGTCTCTCCTGCATCCCTCCGGGGGACCCGCGTGGAGGAGAGGCGGCAGCGTGCGGCGGCGGCACGGCACGGGGGGCAGCCGAGCCCCCGGCCCCCCCAAACCCCCAGCGCGGCCAGCCGGGCGGGCAGCGAGCCCTCCTCTTCCTCCTGCCCAGCGGAGGCCGCAGCCGCTCAGTCCCTAAGCACCTTCCCCCAACCAAGCAAGGGCTTCAACCCAGCCACATCCTCCCCAGCGCTCTGCTGCGAGCCCCAACCCGCCCCTTTGAACCCCCCAGCCCCGCCGCAAGGCCAGCAGAGAGCTCGGCAAGGGCGGGGAGCCGAGTCCTGGCAGGCACCCCCGGCAAAGGAAGGCACGATTCGGAGCAGCACCCAGCGCAGCAGCCGCGCCCGGGGGGAACAGGTTGCAGCGTGGTCCAGCCTAGTTGGAGCCAAGTGTCCAACTCCTTCCTCCCGACTCCATCTTCAGCATCCTGCGGGAGCCCGGCCGCCCATCCGGCGGCTGGCAGGGGCAGCGGGCAGGGCCGGAGGGCCGAGCCCCCGGGCGGCACCTGCGGCGGGCGGGGATGCCCGGCCCTCGGCTGCCGGGCCAGCAGCACGCAAGGCGGCGGCGGCGGCTTCCCGCAGGAGCCGGGCCACGAAATTAAAGGCTGCCGCGCCTCTGCAGCTCGGGGACAGCTCGCTTTAATGAAGTCGGTGGCAACACAGGCGCGCAGCAGCGCGCACACGCGCGCAGCACGCCCGGCTCGCTCCCTCGCTCCAGCCAGCGCGTTCTTTTGGCAAGCACGGGAGCTGCCGCAAAGGAAAATCAGAGGCGAGGGGTGGGTCTGAAGGGAACAAAGGCAATGGGGGAGCCCCCACCCTGCCAGAAGCGCGCACAGACTCCCCCCTACCCCCGCCCTGGCTGCAGAGGGCTTTCCAGCACACGGGTGCTCCTAGGTGAGTGGCTAAATTGGGGAGCGGAGGGGGGGCTCCCCGCCCTGTATCTCCCCCCACCCCGAGCATCTCTCTCTGGCCACACGCATCATCCTCCCCCCATCCCTGGGACACCTCGAGGCTCCCGGCTCCCCGCCGGAGCCGCCCGATGCCTGCGGGTGCCCGGGGAGTGCCCTCCTGCTCACTCGCATACAGATGAGCCTCCACACCTCGGTATTCTCCTCCTTTTGACACACGATGCTGTCTGGCAGAAGCAGCGGCTCATCCCAGAGGTGTAAACAACCCGGGCTGGATGTGCCCGTGCAGGAGCTCCTGTGGGGATGGGGAGTTGTCTCTGACCCTGCTCCCCGCTCCAGGCACCCCACTAAGGGCAGGGAGTGGAGACACTGCTGGGGGTACGTGTGCCAAGGTCACCCAGGGCCCCCTGGGCTGGGCTGTGCCCCGGTGGGGCACCTACCCACCTTTGGGGAACCCTCCTGGCATACACAGGGCACCCCCGGACCCCCAGGGATGTCCCCAAGTCCTCTTGGCACAGCAGGGCACAGCACACAACACACCCTGTGAGTGCTCACACGCAGGGTCCCCCACCCCTCCCACAGCTCCCCAGGGCCTGGGGCACTGCTGCCTGCATTTCCCACACCCACGGCTCCAGCCAGCAGCACAAGACATCCAGCACTCCTGCCATGCTCTTCCCTCACCCACCCCACCAACAACCTGCCCTGCAAGCACAGTGGCTGCTGCCCTGTCCCTCCCAGCTGCTGTGGGGCAGCCAGGACTGCTGGAGGCGTTTAAATTTTTTATGAATAAATAAATAAAGCTCCTAATCACTTAAATCATTAACTCATTTGGGCAAGGGCTTCTTCTTCCATGCAGCCTGGCAACACCTGACCAGGGACTTCCCCACCCCACAGGCACTACAGTGGCTGAAGG